ATCTGCACACTTTGCATGGTTGGCTTTATTTCTGTTAGTACTTTAAACTATTAGCTTTAGCTTTTCATTACGATATCTTTTCTTATTTTGCTTGATCTCCAGTGATCATACTTCAAAAGGTATGAAGTTTTGGACTGCTTTGGAGGTTAATTATTATTAACTGAATATCATGGGCATTTAAGACAATGGTGTGTGATTGCCATACTTTGTGGTTGTGGTTGCGGTTATGGTTATGGTTGAAAAGGTATAATTGTTTTTAGCATGCTAGACTTGTAGAATATATGTGTTTTTTATTGCAAATGCAGTTAAAAAAATTGGTTTTGATCATATGTATGGGGAAACTATGTCAAATTTTTTTCAAAATTTATGCCAAGTAAAATGACCAAATTGCAAAAAAATATATTGAATAATTTCAAATTATTGCATTTTTTATAACAAAATTGTAGAATTGCAAATGCATATTTAAAAAAAAAAAAAAAAACCCTTTTATCATATATACGAGGGAATTTTTTAAAAATTTTTTAAAATTTATGTCCACTAAAATGTAAGAAATCTGTTGGATAAATTCAGAAAATGACATGAAAACGAAATCTGGAAATGAACTTAGGGAAAATGGATGAAATCTGGAGAGGAAGCTAGGGAATTTTTACCAACCATGCTAGCAACGTAATCCAAGTCGGTAAATTAAGGTTCCCACCTGCATCTTGTTGGCGAATTAAACTTTCCAACGTGATTCTAGTCAGTAAAGTTGCCAAGAGAATACCAACAGGAAACTGGTCGGTAATTTGGGCACAAATTGCAAATTTTTTGGTTTTTGGTTTCCACTCCCAATATATTACCCATGTGATGTTTGTCGTTGAAATTAATACTAATTAAAAACACATGGGTAAATTGGCTTATATATACTTCCACCCACCACTCTACCTAGCTTATTTCTTCTTGTCTTCCTTCGTATTCTTCTTCTTCTTCTTTTTTCTTCTCCTCCGGCTTGCCTCCATTTTTTCTTCCATTCAATGCTGTTGGATTAATTGTTTATGTTTATAATTACATTATTGATATAATTTTAGGTTTATATCTTTCAATCTCCTCTCTTTTTCTCTTTCATTGTTTCTCCTTATT